GGTCAACTAAATTAAAGAGGACTGTTTTTGTAATGTTGTATACATTAAGCTCGAGTAGGGTGGGCCAAATTATAAGCCTAGACAATTTTGCAGTGGACAATAATTTTTGGATGACTTAGTCAGAAGTATATTAAATAGCCTGCTCCCAAATTGAATGGCTTCTGTCTATCATATGGCCTGTGTCAACTGTGAATTGATGGACATTTGAGGTATTTGAGGATAATGGAAGGGCTTTCTTGTGGTGGGTAGGCTTGCCTAAGAAGCGTGATTGGTACGCGAAATTTAACACCATTTGTAAATTATCAGAGATTCAGAAATAGGGTCATGTGATAACTTGTCACGGGTTAAATTTCGTGTATTAAACATGTCATCTATGCAAATGACGGGAATAGGAAAAAGTTGCATTAGTAAAAGATGGCATTAATCTTGTTACTGCTGGCCCAACTCTTTCACTTCGATCAAGGAATTTTTTTCAAATTTCATTTCTCCGCTGCTATCCAAAATTATTAAATTGGATATCAATAACCCAACCCGCAAAATTCGTAAATTATCTCCTGTCATCATAAAAAATAACCTGGGATTTGCCTTCCGCAATAAATAGCATCTGTTTAGCTCCCAGAGATTAGAAACTGGAAAATTTCAGACACTGGTGTCCTTGTCAAGGCATTAGCCTGCAAGCCCTCTTCAAAGTAACATTATGGGGTAGCCTAACATTGGATTTAAATTGTCACAGTCAATTTTACCAACTCTATTCAAAAACCCTACTTTCACAAACAGTAGTCTTTCATTGAAATATGCAAGTCAAACAGACTCTTTCCACCATTAATATTGACTAGCACTAATAAATAGTTTTTGGTAAAAACATTTATATTTGCATGTGCACTTGGTTATTACACTTTAATATGCTGTTGAATTCTGTTCACATATATTTCAAATTTTATCACTCAATATTAGAAAACTCACATTAGATTTATACTGTTTGGTATTAGATATAATTAAGAGATGTTGATAGATTGCTACCCCTGCCCCTACCCCTCTTATCTGTTTCGCTTTTGATTTAAATCAATATAATCTGTAACGCAAGTTTTTGTTTATTTTAGAGAGTGAATAGAGGAATCATGAAAGCCAGTGCAGTCAGTTTTGTAACGGTTAGTAATACTGAAAAACTGGCACTGTTTGAGATCCCCCAAAGGCCACTTACTCGACACGTAATGCCTAACTCATAGTTTATCTACACTCACGCCTAGGATAGAATATACGTACACACACCTCTCTCTCTCTCTCTCTCTCTCTCTCTCTCTCTCTGTATAATGTATATATTATAATTTTGTCACTGACTATTCCAAATATATTACTGCACTTGTGCCTTTGCGTCCTTATCTTAGTTTCAAATTGTGTTTTCGCTCTTTTTTAAATCCATTGAATTCAAATTAGACATGTCAAACCGCTCAAAAAGATGTGAGATAGTTCTTTTAATTAATTTTAATATATTGTCATTATAATATTCTCTCTCTTAATATCTTATTCCGAGAATTTCAATTTTAAATCAAAATCAACAATTAATTTTACGATTATGTTATATGTACATTATAATTTACATATTTATTTATCAACGTACGATATAATGAGATTTGATTGGATCAAAATGTCATCGACCAAATATTGAAAAAAAAAA